TAGAAACATTTTTAAATAGAAAAGATATGACACGTTGTAAAAAAAAACTATCGGCATGAATTTTATCGCATCGATAATAAAGATAATAAATGTAGTTCGAATTTCAACAGACCTTCCCTGTTTTTTATATTTCTTTTCTCATGAAAAGAAACCGAACTTGGGGTGTAGGAAGCTGACAAAAACTAATATTTTCAAAATTCTATCTATCAAGATGGAATGCTGAATGCGATAGCCATAGATAGAGACGAAAATTGTAGAATATTTGTCGATAGAAATATACGTCGTCCTCTAATCCAAGTAAATATAATATATTTTTTTTTGAAACTCTGGTAGATGAATTTTTTTTTTTTAAATTTTTCACACTTTTTGTGAATGTGAGATATCTTTATTGTGGGTTAACACACACAAGTATTTCTTTTTGTGTTGCAACTAATACCTGAAAATGCTGAAAAGAAGGAAACAATTGTGGTAGTATCTTTTTCGTTTCATCTGGTTTTGAATTACAACGATATTAAAATCTATTTATCATTTCCGTTGTTTTATTTTATAATATTAAAAATTAAAAAAAAAAAATTTTTTTTCTATATTTTTTTTTCCATATTTGTAAAATAAGGTATATTATTTTATTCTTATAAGAAATATAAAGTAAATAAGGTTTATTTGTTTTTGTAACGTATCTAGTTTCTTGTATTTAAAAACTTTCTAAATACGCAAACATTATATTTAAAAAACATGTCTTTGGATATTTATAAGAAAAATATTCTAAAATGTTGTCTAATTTTTTTTCTCTGATATATCCGATAATCGAAGAGGCGCGTCGATCGCTTGAAGGGAAAACAGCGTGCGTGGGTGTAGTGTGAGAAAATATAGTTTGAATAAGTGTAAAGGTGATTAATAGAGGGAAAAAAGTAAGGGTAAAGACGTGCCATTCCTTGTGCACTTGAATATTAAAGTTTCCTGGTTAGAAAGTTATATTTTGTGTTAATATTCATTTAGAAGAACCCAATAATCCTACAGAAACGTTATTTTAGTGTTTGCGAATGTCATAAACATGTTAATTATGAAAAGCAAGTGTTAATCCATCATTAGTGGATTAAATTTTTATATTATTATTTCTAATGTTCGAAGATAACATAATCTACAACTATAGTTTTATTTTAACGTAAATAAATTTTTATAGATTTATTTATACAAAATTTTATTAATTTATATATTTATAATATGTATATATACTTAGGAGGAAGTCAAGTAGGGTCGAGTTGAACGAAGTGTCGGTCGTTGGCCAACTATGGCTTGGATGATAATGGAAAATAAGAAGAAAAAAAAGTGCTGGACGCGTGTCAGGTATCCTGTTGTTGGTTCCGTTCAACCGCTGACACAATACTACGTGCAACTACTTTACTGGGTGGCATGCAGAATTATATGTTTGGAATAATTAACAGTCTATTATACTATTTCTGTGATATAGCAAAATATATTTTATGACGAGAGTAAATTAAACGTCGATTTAAATCACAGGTGCTATCCTCGATATCGAATAAAAACTTTCTTCTTATTTTCTATAAAATTTCATTTAAATGACGTAGTAAAGATGATAATCGAATCGACGTGTTGTGTAGAATCGTTATTTATTGGTAGAGATTCTTTACGGGGTACCTATTTTAATCTCTGCTTAGTAGAGAAGGAGCAATATAAATTTATAATAACCGGAAGCATTCTCAAGAGTGGCGTCGTTATTTAAATTAACCAAGCTATTCATTTAATAGATAATTACATTTAATTAAGAACAGGTCGAACACGAGCATACATAGATAGTTTCTACTCTGTACTATAGCGATACGTTTTCACAGCTTGTAGAGACTACGACTAATAATAAGATTATTGTAAATGATTGACTGTTATTTTAATTTATTCGTAATAATTAACTATCTTTTCAATCATTTAATAAATGATTAAAGTTATTTTAGAGACTGATCGGTAATACTTGAGAAATATAGGCAAGACATATTCAATTAAGATTTTTACTAATTTAAAAATATATTTTTTTTTTAGGAGATGTACAATACAAACCTTACGTAACGAGTGTTCCTGATACACGTTGCATTTCTTTAGACGGTACCGAGGATTTTATTATCATTGCTACCGATGGAGTCTGGGATTTTGTCAACACTTATGATGCTGCTATGATCGTTTACGTAGCTATACGAGAATATCCTGGTTGGTAAAAAAGATTTTTTTTTCAAAAGATCTAGCAGAATAGGCCATTTTTTTCTTAACGATTTTCTTAGATCAAGTTTAGATAAAATTAAATGGCCGATCTAAATAAGCTTGAAGATCACGACACGTAGAAATAAGGAATTCCGAGTCTCTCTCAGCCCATTGTTTTAGAAATTTCTTTTTCGATAACGAAAGTCTCGAAAGATTTATATATTCGCGCTTTTCTAAATCGCTTGCCAACAAAGTGTGTCCAGTCGTTCTGTTTGTGGCGATGTTATGCTCTGTTTCGTTCGACGGTAGTAGGAACAGAATAGGAAGACATTAATCGCATAGCGCTTTTCAAAGTAAAGCCTTTTCTTTTACAGAGTGATTAGTATCGACTAAAGGTATTTTTTCTTATGTCTGTGTCTGTGTGTCTGTGTCTGTGTCATTAGTTTGTTTAATAATTGTTGCCTTAATCATTCTCATTCCTTGATTAGTCTCAAATTCCTTTCATATGCGCGATTGTAATTGAGAACGTGTCCAATGGAAGGAAACGCTTGCCGGGCGGATAAATGATGTCGTTTTATCATTATACTCTCAGACAACAGGACAAAGTTTCGATCTTTGTAAATGACATCGAATGAGGACCATTCTTCCTCTTATTGACAATAAATCTGACTACGCGAACGTGTTTTAAAGATATATATATCAGGGTGGGTCAACAAAAATTCAATTATTTGTTTTTTTACAAGTGCTACGGAAAAATGGGTTGCTAGACACCTTAAAAAAATTCTCACCAAATATGAGCTCTTAATTTTAATAGGAAAATCCTCCGCATCGCAGTTTTTTATTTTTTTTTCAGTCCAATAGATTAAAATTCATACCTCATTATTTATTGATTGTACAGAAAAATGTTTTGGACGAATTTTGTAGGAAATTTAATGCTCTACAAAAAAGGTATCTTATATTTTTTCCGTAAACCTCACCATTTGAATGATATTGAAGATTTAAGTTTGATTATTTTAAGACAAATTGTATTTTTGTTTATGAATTTTATAACTCGACAATAAATAAATATTATAAGATGCGCAATACAAATTTTTGTAGAAAATTAACTGCTCTATAAAAATGGTGTCTTATGTTTTGGCGATTAAATTAAGAGTTCTAAACAAAAACTTTTAAAATTAGTACACATGAACGTTTGATGATGAATATCTTTTGAACGTTCCAAGATCATTCAAATGGTGAGGTTTACGGAAAAAATATAAGATACCTTTTTTGTAGAGCATTAAATTTCCTACAAAATTCTTCCAAAACATTTTTCTGTACAATCAATAAATAATGAGGTATGAATTTTAATCTATTGGACTGAAAAAAAAATAAAAAACTGCGATGCGGAGGATCTTCCTATTAAAATTAAGAGCTCATATTTAGTGAGAATTTTTTAAAGGTGTCTAGCAAACGTATTTTTCCGTAATACTTGTAAAAAAAAATAATTGATATTTTGACCTGCCCTAATAAGTATTAAAAAAAACGGTGACGGTAAGTCACCTTATAAGTATATATTTTCAGTACATTAAATAAATATGTCTAATGGTTATTGTACCACCGGTGGTACACGTGGTACGGAACGTGTTAATTATAATTTATATTATTAATTTTTGTTATATTTTATTATTTAATATTATTTATTAATTATAATTAATAATATTTTTTTTTTTATCTTGAGGTTTGTTTACCCGTGCGCTCAGTCTCTGGACCATTGTACCCGGGCCCCTTGCGGGGAAAAACCTATGACCATAGCGGTCCCGCGGGCAGCCCCGACTCCCTTGCAAAGCGCAGGAGTCTGGCCGCCCCTGAGCCCCCTAGGTCGAAGTTGTTGTCGCTGGTCCCAAGGACATCATTTCTGACGTCCGCGAGCCCAACGCATTGAGTTATGAGATGGAGGGGGGTATCTCCTTCGCCACACCCATCGTAGACCGAGTCTTGTGCAAGGCCCAGTCGCGTAAGATGCTTTCTAAGGTGCCAGTGCCCGGTGACCAATCCTACCACCAGCCTCAATTGGGCTCGGTCCAGGTTGATCAGCTCGGTACCTAGCTCCTCCGAAGGCCCTGAAAGCAGAGCCTTCGTGTGCCTCATGCCAGGGCCTTGCACCCAGAGATCCCTGAAGCGGTCCGTAGCCCACTTCTTAGACCTTCACCGCATGAGCCCCTCTGACACGCTGATGTGGCATTGGCCTGTCAGATCGTGCCGTGAAGCTCCAAGTCTGGCAAGCTCGTGCGCCCTTTCGTTGCTCTGAACGCCACTTTGACTCGGCATCCACAGCAACCTTACTCTGTTGACACTGCCTAGCCGTGTCAACAAGTCGACACAGTCCTTCACCAGCCCTGACTTGACTACGGTGCTGTGTACGAGTCTAAACGCAGTGTGGCTGTCACTACAAATGTAGATATGTTTGCCATAGTACCCCCTTTCAAGGATACTGTGGGCGCCAATGGCAAACAGCTCCGTCTGAAGAACAGAGGCGGTACCGGTTAGGGTGTAGGACAATTCGGTCCTAGACCCTACAGACCAGACTCCTGCTCCCGCGTTAGAACCCGCTTTAGCCCCATCTGTATACCAGACGGGCTCTGCGGGTGCCAATAAATGATTTGGGTCCGCTGCCTATTGCTGTCTATCTGGGAAGAGGATGTCATAGTTGTGCTGGAAATGGTACTCCTTTGGGCACCAGTCACCCCCAAGACGGTTGACTTCCTCGAAGTCTTGAAACACGCTGAACACTGGCTACATAATAGACCACATCAACAAAATCATACAAAATAGAATAAAAGGCAGCACAACCATGGAAGAGCTTCAACTGCTTATATACACAGGAGCATTAACCATCACAAAAATGCACTCCAAAAAAAGAAAGACACAGACAGCTAACACTTAAAAGATAATCACGATACCAGCATGGCAACATAGGCTACAAAAAAAAAATAGAGAAGCTAAGGAAAGAAGTAGGACAGCTAACACAACACATAAACAATAAGATAAAAAACAGAAACCAAAAGAAAAAGATGGAACGGATAACTAAACAACAAGCAATAGAAGAAATGGACCAAAAGAAACAGAAATTACAGGCACTGGCCAAGCGGCTTAGATGCTACAAGAAAAGCGAAAACAAAAGAAAACAAAATACAATATTTATCACAAACCAAAAGAAATTTTACAAAACACTAGATAAAACGCATACAAACGACATAATCATCCAGCCACCGAACACAGCAGATATAGAAAAGTTCTGGAGTAATATATGGTCAAACGCAACACAACACAATCAACAGGCGCACTGGATACAGAAAGAGCAAAATAAATACAACACGATACAACAAATGACTGGAGTAACAATAACGCCTCACGACATTACCAAAACAATAGCTAACACACACAGCTGGAAAGCACCCGGAAAAGACAAAATAGCTAGCTTTTGGTTAAAAAAATTTACATCAGCGCATACACATCTGGCAAAACTATTCAATAGCTATATTAAGAAACCACACACAACACCAACCACACTAACACAAGGAATAACATATCTCATACCAAAATACACAACAGACACAACCAACCCAGCAAAATATCAACCAGTTACATGCCTACCTACAATATACAAGATTCTGACATCGATTATTGCACAGAAACTAATGGCACACACAACACACAACAATATAATCAGCGAAGAACAAAAAGGATGCTGCAAAGGAAGCCAAGGATGCAAAGAACAATTAATAATCGATTCGGAAATAACGCATCAAGCTAAAATTAAACAACGATCGCTGCATTACGCATACATAGACTACCAAAAGGCTTTCGACAGTGTACCTCATTCATGGCTGATTAAAATACTTGAAATATACAAAGTAAACCCAGAACTAATACAATTTTTAGAGAAAATAATGGGAAATTGGAGTACAACCTCACAGTTACAACAGAAGAAAAAAAAGAAAACTAGAAAAAAAACACTGCATGGCAAGCACCCACACCAATTAGCACAAGAACACATAGACCCACAAGCATCCAACGCATGGCTAAAAAAAGGTAACCTATATGGTGAAACTACAGGCTTCATGATAGCCATCCAAGACCAAGCAATCAACACCAGGTATTACAGTAAACACATAATTAAAGACCCGAATACAAAAACAGATAAGTGCAGATTATGTAAAATACAGATAGAAACAATAGAAC